GCCCATGGGGAAGCATAGAAATTGAACACAGTCGCAATGTTGGTCTCAACAGCGTCCAAGAAGGTTCAAGAGGCCCCCATGATCGCTCCAAGACGGCCCAGGAAGCGCACAAGAGAGCTCCAAAACGGCCGAAGAAGGGCTTCGCTCAGGACCCGCGTCCCTCAGCGCCGATCCAAGAAATCCGCGCGGAGCTCCGAAAGTGTGTTTATGCCGCGCTTCGCTCTTCGATCAACAGAAGATCGTGGCTGTGGGCCCAGCCCCGCTGCCTGCGTGCCAGCGGGCGGCTGGTGACTCAGGGGGAGGAGGAGGGAAGGGGGAGGAGGGAAGGGGGAGGAGGAGGAGGAGGAGGAGGAGGAGGAGGAGAAGATGGAGGAGGAGGAGGAGGAGGAGGAGGAGGAGGAGGAGGAGGAGGGAGGAGGAGGGGAGGAGGAGGAGGAGGAGGAGGAGGAGAGGGAGTGGGAGGAGAAAGAGGAGGAGAGGCTATCGGATCGCCATGAGGAGGGGCAGGAGAAATTCTGTACGACCGGGTCGTTTCGTACGGAATGTGTCCCTCCCCCGTTCCCAGGCTGTGATCACGGGCCCTGCTGCCCGCAACTGTTCGGGTGGCCAGGATCGAACCTGTCCGCATGGCTACGTTTAGGTCGGGCATGTCCTCCTACAGGCGGATGTTGGAGGAAAAACAAAAAAATGCCAAACCAAACCATATTCACAAGTAATCAAAAGAACACGAACAAGTCGTCCCCAGACTACTGTCCGAACCAATCTCGAATGTTCCTCCTGTAGAGAGACATGCCCGACTTAAGGTTACGCCTACGAAGAGGAGGAGACAGGGGGGGGGGGGGGGCAGAACGGGAGCAGAGGAGAAGCAGGAAAGGCAAGGGGGAGGGAAATTCGGAGGAGAGGAGGTGAACAGAGGAGGAGCGAGGAGGAGGAGGAGGAGGGGGAGGAAGAAGAAGAGAAGAAGAGGAGGGAGGAGGAGGAGGACGACGGGAGAGGAGGAGAGGCAGGAGGAGGAGGAGAGGAGGAGGAGGAGGAGGAGGAGAAGGAGAGGAGATGGAGGAGGGAGGAGGAGAGGGTGAGGGTGAGGGTGAGGGGTTGAGGGTGAGGGTGAGGGTGAGGTCAAGCTACAAGCTACCCAGCTCGAGCGAGTCAAGGCATGGCATGCCCATTTCCACCCGTCATTTCCACCCGTCCCTCCCACAACGTAAGAAACAGTGATGGTCACAAATTATTGCAGGGGCTGCGCGGGCATTAAGCCAGTGCGAGTGGAGGATACCCCAGGACACCGCTTGACGTCCCGCGCGGATGTTACGCCGCGTCCATTCCCGCACGCATTCGCATAGTCGACGACAAGATCTGGCCATGGCATGATGAAAAACAACGGACACATGCATGGCGATTACCCGACACGTATCCAAACAATGCTGGCGCAACTAGGTACTGGCGCGTAGTAGTAGTAGTAGTAGTAGTAGTAGTAGAGTAGTAGTAGAGTAGTAGAGTAGTAGTAGTAGTAGGAGATAGAGTAGTAGTAGTAGTAGTAGTATAGAGTAGTAGTAGTAGCAGTAGCAGCAGTAGTCGTAGTGTAGTACTAGTAACTAGTCGTAGTAGTAGTAGTAGTAGTAGTAGTAGTAGTAGTAGCAGTAGTAGCAGTAGTAGCAGTAGTAGCAGTGGCAGTAGTAGCAGTAGTAGCAGTAGTAGCAGTAGTAGTAGTAGTAGTCGTCGTAGTAGTGGTAGTAGTAGTAGTAGTAGTAGTAGAAGAACTAGTACTAGTAGTAGTAGTAGTAGTTGTTGTTGTTGTAGTGGTAGTAGTAGTGGTAGTAGTAGAAGAAGAAGTAGTAGTAGTAGTAGAAGTAGTAGTAGTAGTAGTGGTAGTAGTAGTAGTAGTAGTAGTAGTAGTAGTAGTAGTAGTAGAGTGGGGATACGAATAGGTACCAGTACTAGTAGTACGAGTAATAATGCGAGTAGTACGAGCAGAAGTACTACAGGTAGTACAAGTACTCGCACGAGTAGTAGTAGTAGTAGTAGTAGTAGTAGTAGTAGTAGTAGTAGTACAGAGTAGTAGCACTATGGAAGTAGAAGTGCTAGTAATACTTGTACTACTGCTCGACTAGTAGTAATGCCATTGGTAGTACAAATTGCAGAACAAGTTGTAGCAGTAGTAGTAGTAGTAGTAGTAGTAGTAGTAGTAGTAGTAGTCGTACCAATGGTACTAGTAGCACTAGTCAGGATGGGAGGGCCCGCGGCCCGCATGGACGTCCGCGCGCGATGTGCGCCGCGTCCCAGGCCTGCCACATATCTCGCACCGTCGGCGACAAGGCAGGCCATGCTGAGAGGAAAAAACAAAGACTTTGTATTGATTTTTTACCATCAGGGTGGGCGGGCCCAGATTGACTGCCGCGCGCGATGTGCGCCGCGTCCCATTCCTGCCACGATTTTCGCATCGTCGACGACAAGAAAGACGATGTTGAGAAGAAGAACGGCCACTTTGTATTGATTTTTTACAGTCCGGATGGGAGGTCCCGGATTGGGTCGCTATCGGCCGGAATACGAGGTAGGTGGGGGTATAATCTAATAAGGAACAAGGATGAGGGAGGAGGAGGAGGAGGAGGAGGAGGAGGAGGAGGAGGAGGAGAGGAGGAGGAGAAGGAGGGAGGGAGGGAGGGAGGGAGGGAGGGAGGGAGGGAGGGAGGAGGAGGGAGGAGGGAGGAGGGGCGAGAAGGGAGGAGGGAGGAGGGGGAGGAGGAGGGAGGAGGAGGAGAGGAGGAGGAGAGGAGAAGAGGAGAGGAGGAGGAGAGAGGAGGAGGAGAAGGAGGAAGGAGGAGGAGGAGGAGGAGGAGGAGGAGGCGGAAGTAGGAGGAGGAGGAGGAGGAGGAGGAGGAGGAGGAGGCGGTGGGGGGCCCAGTCACAAGTCGCCCGTTGACAACCCTGCCCCGCGTGGTCACCTCGAGGGCTCCGCTCCGCTGCGAGAGCCCCGGCCGCGGCTGAGGCGCGCGAAATGCCCCCTTCAGCGGCTCGAGGGACTGAACAGGGAGGAGGGAGGCAGGAGGAGGGAGGAGAGGGAGGAGAGAGGCGTAGAGAAGGAAGAGGAAGGGGATGGCGGAGGGAGGAGGGAGGGAGGGAGGGAGGGAGGGAGGGAGAGGAGGGACGATGAAGAGCAGGAGGGTGGCAAAGTGTTCGTCCCCATGCTGCTCCTCCTACGCCTCCTCCTCCTCCTCCTCCTCCTCGTCTTCCTCCTCCTCCTCCTCCTCCTCCTCCTCCTCTTCCTCCTCCTCCCTCGTCCTCCTCCTCCTACTCCTTCTGATCCAGAGAGAGAGAGAGAAAGAGAGAGAGAGAGAGACACTGAAATAGTAGGCCTGAAACGCCGAAAAAAAATCCAAAACCAACGAGGTTGTAAAGCGTCGCGCCCCACGGAAGTTCTCGCTGGTGTGTCACGGGCGACACGCTTGTCCGACGTGAAACGCCAATGACGCCAGCAGACACTGTTAAGCCTCAGAGAACGGAACGAAGACAGAAAGAAGCCCACAGCGGGAGTGATGGGAAGAAATTCGCCGGCCCAACGGGCCAGAGGCGTGCTAAGATCTCCGGTAACTGGTTAACAAAATTTCTAGTTCGCGCGCGCGGAGCGGCCGCTGGGGGCCCCCGGACGAAAAGTACCCCGGCAAGGTCCCGGGAGCCGCAATCGACTACCCCCCCTCCCGCCCCAAGAGGCATCCAAAAGCCCCCCAAGAGGCCCTGGGGCCCCCCAAGACGCCGCCAAGGAGCCCCAAGAGACTCCCAAGAGGTCCCCAAGAGGCCCCCAAGAGGCCCTAAAGAGGGCTCCAGGGCCGGCGGAATGAGCGAAGCGATCAAATTAATTGTTCTGCGCAGCACGCACCTGGCGCCTACGTTGGCACCCCATCCCAGCGGGAACGAGACGGAAAAGATAAACACAATGACACCCGCTCGCTCCGATCCTGGCAACGCGTAAATGAAACCACTCATTCCGACATGCAGTGGAGGGCTGAGACAATGATCATGGGCTGGATTCTAATCGCGTCTGGTTACGTGCGCGAGCTCCCAACAACTGAGCCGACGAACTCTCTGAAATGGCGACAGCGGCACTGATGAGTTCCAGAACCGGCGTGTCCTACTCCTGCATCGTAGCCCAAAGCAGAAAACACCTTCCCAAGATGGTTGGGCACCCAGCACCCGCCTTCGGGTGCCATCTATCACTTCGGATGAAGACGACACGGCTGGCACAGGGGAAGCGCAACTCCTTACGAGCGCAATGCCCAGAGTCATACACCAGTCGGCGAGGATCGAGCGGCGAATGCGATTGTACTCTCCAGACTGATCGACGACAACAAGGTCTTTTCGGACAGTGGAGGCGCGACGTATATCATCTGCCTGATGGGATAATATCGTGATCTTCCATAGCAAACGACAAGCTGCGTCCACGCAAACTACCCTGCCGCCGAGAGGAAGTCGCCGCCGAGCGAATCGTCGAGAGGACATGGTCATGAGTGTATCCATTGTTCGATCTGTCGTCGGGGTGTGTACTGGACAAGATGGTGGTACGAAAAGGTGTCCGAGCAATGCTGGCGATGGATCGGATAGCGTCAAAGGAGAAGAGTGCAAAAGAGCATCGACTGAAAAGCATGTGGGCAAGGGCAGAAAGATCAGGCAAGCGACGCTGGTGGAGAGCAGGTGGCAAGGGCCATTTTTCCCAAACGCGAGAGGATCGCGCACGCAAGCTCCGAGAAAGAATTGGAACTCGCCTCTCGAACAAGAAGCAGCCGATGCTGCACCATACCCGGAGGGGCAGATGATCAAGCCAGGACCGATGGGTTCGGAACTGGGTGACGCTCCAGTGCAGTCCCTGGATTCCCATCCCTTCCTTCTACCTCTGATCTGCTGTGCGTAGCCGCCGCAAGCGAGACATCTGCTGCACCCACAACCTCAAGCTCCTCAGCTACCTCCCCCTCCTTGCTCGCTGCCCTTCGCCAGGCCCTCACCACGTCTCACTCGTGGAAGAAGACGTACGGGCCGATGACCTCCTGCATGAGCCCGCCAACCGCCGTGCAGCCGACCATCCAGACGAGAAACCTAGGCAACCCGCGCGGGTGCTCTGGCGCTGGCCACCGAGGCCCGCCAGCCTCTCTGCAGAAATGCTGGCACGCACCGCGGGCCAGGGGGGGCTCTTCGCTCCCGCAGGTCAGAGGAGTGTGTCGATGCGGCTGTTCCCGCACTCAGATGAGCCAGATTCGGTTGCTGAAGTGTCCCTGGCCCAAGGTGTCCCTACAGTAGGAGCTCGATCACAAGAAACCTTCCACGAGAAACCCAACCCTGGAACCCCAGGACGTCCACTGATTTTTGGCGTGGGAGCGTCACGCTTTCCATAGCAGACCCATCGAAATCCAAGAAGCCCAGGGCACCCTGGAGCAAGCAGGGTGTTTCTTGGCACGGGTTTCCACTGTAGCTTTTCGAAACATTTTGGGGGCCCTGGGGCCCTCTGGGCCTCGTGGGGGTGCTCTGGAGGCCACTTGGGCCTGCCTGGTAAAGCTGGGGCCACTTTGGGCCAGGGCCACCTCTGCCAACACACCCGGCAAAAATGAGCAAGTCAGAGGTTGTCGCTTCCCAGTTCGCGCGCCCGAGGTCACTCCTGAGAGGGGGGGCCCGCCAGAGAGACCAGGGGGATCGGGACCGATCCAAGAAAGCATCGAAAGGAAGATGGGTGCCAGAAATGCCCATCCTCGGAGGTGCCAAGATGGCCACTGGATGGCCCAGGACACCTTCAAGACGGCCCAAGAGACTTCCACGATTACTCAAGATGGCCGCCAAGTTGCCAAGACTGTAGGGAATCTCACCTTTCCCGAAACAGCTTGTCTGTAAGGGTCCTATACCAGAATAATTGCAGGATGTAATGCTACAAGGCCCAGGCCCAAAATTGCCAGATTTCCTAGGGTTTGCCGCGTGTTCCCGCAGACCTATTGGGGCTTCCCGCGTGACTTTTCCAGAAGCCAGAGTCCCAAGACGGGCAACAAGGGCCCCGAGGCGCCCCTTAGACGGTCCGAGAGGGCTTCAGGACGGCCTGAGAGCACTCCAGGACGGCCCAAGATGGCCTCAAGACGGCCCATGAGGCCTCCAAGACCCCTGAGAGGGCCCGAAGAGGACCCCCACGAGAGTCCCAAGAGGCAAAATCCACTGAGTTTCACTCATGCGTTTGAAAGATATTAGCGTTCTCACATTGTCTACCTTCCAGCGCTGCAAGACGGCACGTGTGCATGTGCGTGTTCCGAGACACGTACGAGTTACCAATAACCGTGTGTGTGTGGTCCGGGACACGTACGGGTTACCAATAACGGAGCGTGTGAGTGTGTTGTCCAAGACACGTACGAGTTACCAGTAACGGCGTGTGCGTGTTCCAGGACACGTGCGAGTTACCAGTAGCGGCGTGTGTGTGTGCGTGTTCACCGGCACGCGCGTGTTTCCAGAAACGGTGTCTATGTGTGTGTTCCCAAACACGACCGGGTTACCAATTACGGTGTGTGTGTGTTCCATGGCACGTACGAATTACCGGTAACGGTGTGTGTGCGTGTGTTCCAGGACACGTACAAGTTACCAGTAAATGTGTGTGGTTCAGGACATGTACGAATATCCAGTAACGGTGTGTGTGTGGTCCAGAGCACGTACGCGTTACCAGTAACAGTGTATGTGCGGTTGAAACCGGACACGTACGATTTACCAGTAACGGCGTGTGTGTGTGTGTGCGTGTTCCATGGCACGTACGAGTTACCAGTAACGGTGTGTGTGTGTGTGCGTGCGTGCGTGCGTGCGTGCGTGTGTGTTGTGTTGTGTTGTGTTGTGTTGTGTTGTGTTGTGTTGTGTTGTGTTGTGTTGTGTTGTGTTGTGTTGTGTTGTGTTGTGTTGTGTTGTGTTGTGCTGTGCTGTGTTGTGTTGTGTTGTGTTGTGTTGTGTTGTGTTGTGTTGTGTTGTGTTGTGTTATGTTGTGTTGTGTTGTGTTGTGTTGTGTTGTGTTGTGTTGTGTTGTGTTGTGTTGTGTAGTGTAGTGTTGTGTTGTGTTGTGTTGTGTTGTGTTGTGTTGTGTTGTGTTGTGTTGTGTTGTGTTGTGTTGTGTTGTGTTGTGTTGTGTTGTGTTTTGTTGTGTTGTGTTGTGTTGTGTTGTGTTGTGTTGTGTTGTGTTGTGTTGTGCTGTGCTGTGCTGTGTTGTGCTGTGCTGTGTTGTGCTGTGCTGTGTTGTGTTGTGTTGTGTTGTGTTGTGTTGTGTTGTGTTGTGTTGTGTTGTGTTGTGTTGTGTTGTGTTGTGTTGTGTTGTGTTGTGTTGTGTTGTGTTGTGTTGTGTTGTGTTGTGTTGTGTTGTGTTGTGTTGTGTGTGTGTGTGTGTGTGTGTGTGTGTGTGTGTGTGTGTGTGTGTGTGT